CCCCCCCCCCCGGTTCCCCTCTCCCGACCCCCTCCCTCCATCGAAGGCGGGAACCTGTTGGGCAAGCCGAAGATCGTGGAGCGCCTGATCGCCCGCAGGTTCTTCAAGCGTAAGAGCAAGGACCCGGACTCGTACGAGTTCCTCAAGACCAGCGGCCACAAGAAGCTCTACGCGGAGTCGGTGCTTACGCTCAACGAGGCAGCCGCCGCGAAGAGCGGGGACGCAGGACCGTTCCTGATGCCCATGTGTCTACCGGTGAGTTATGGGTTACTTCTAGATCTGAACGAAAAGGAAGATATGTGTGGAGACGCAGCAGTGCAGCGGTACTCGGAGAAGGTTGGCACTTGGCAGCCGCTGCCTCGCTGGCCCAGAACGGCCCGCACGGAGGGATCCGTGGTCCTACCGAGGAATCTTCCAGAGAAAGAGATGCCTGTGCATCCGATCAATCTCCTTGGGTGTGGTGAGGGCTCGAGCTATCTGAGGCAGACCGCCGAAGGAGAGAGAGACACAGAGAGAGAGACAGACAGACAGAGATAGTGAGACAGAGACAGAGATGGTGACACAGAGAGACAGAGAGAGAGAGAGAGAGAGAGAGAGAGAGAGAGAGAGAGAGAGAGAGAAGATTGACCGTTGCGTCGCCCCCATGGTTTTGCCAGTCGAGGGTTCTCGTTGCGGCGGCGGGGGTTGGGTGCGCTGACCGCACAACAGCAGCAGAGTATTGGACCTGAGAGGTACAACGTGGTCGGCGTGCAGGGGTAGTGAAAGTGTTCGCCTAGGGATCACGAGCTTTCGGTACAAGCACGGGTGGAATCGCCGTCCCAAGCCTCTGCCGCAGTACGTCGGTGGTTTGGTCCTTGACGAGTGACAAGCGGGACGCAAGAAGGGCACAGCTAGTCTAGCTGCTGTTGTTCGGTGTAACCGCATGTTTCTTCTGTGTCTCAATGCTAGCGATGGTTATGTGGTTTCCATGTTTTGTTTTTTGGCGACGGCATGGAGGCATCCTACTCCCCCCCCGCGTGGTGTTCAATGCTTCGTCCTCTCGAACACGCGTGATCAACGTAAACAGCTAAGACATGCAAACATGAGCCCCCCCCCCCCCTCGTGGCCGATTGATTCGCCTTCGCATGATGCTCCACTGCTGCAGCTCTGGCACACTGTACACTGAAAATGTTCTGATCTCCTTTCATGGCCGTGTGGCAGGCGCCGGAGCCCGAGGTGGGCCGGTTGGAGCGAGATCGAGCGAAAATCTTGGAAGGGGTGCGGAAAGGGTACCACCACGCGCACTTGCTGCTGCGACGGACGGCGCCGGAGCACCCCACCGCGACCATGGATGGCCGGCAAGCGGCGCTCACGGTGTGTTCAGTATGTCAGTACGTCGTGCGTCAAGTCATATCGATATCGAGCGGAGAGGACAAGCACAATATCATACCGAAAACGGTACCGAACGAAAATGGTTCCAAAACGGTGTCCAAAACGGAACCGAAAACGGAGTTTCCAAACTTTTGAGGTGGTGCTGGGGAGGATTGAGGGGTTTGGGGGGGTGTACTCATAGTCGTGCATGGGGTTGGGGGGGGGGGGCG